GTGGTACCACTTAATTTAGCTATATATCAATAAGACCATTTCTACCTATCAATTGCTGTATGGTTATTTTATACAGCTACACTGAAAACACAATAATCTCTGATATAAACTGCTTCTAGAAGAAAAAAATACTCATTTCTCCACATGTAAAAATCAATGCTCAAACCCACCAATCTCTTCCTACCAAATTCTAAAGGAAAATCCAACCCAACGGTATTTCTCCTCGAGCTCAACAGAAGGGCTGGGAAACATCTCCCTGGGGGACGGGCTGCCCAGTTGTAGACGTAGGACGATGGTTGGGAAACATCTCCCTGCCCAGTTGTAGACGTAGGACGATGCCTTAGGGAGCAGCTCGCCACAACTCGTTCCCCACACCACCACAGACAAGAGCAGCTGCACAAGAGAGCTCCAGTGGGCTCCCAGGAAGAGGCACTCCTGAAAAAACGGTTCTATGGTTCCGTGCAGGAAGCCAGTGGTCCGCTGCCCATGTCACTGGCCAACACTGTAATAAGGATTTTGAATGAAGCATGCACATGAAACCTACATCTTGCCTCTCTATAAACTAACAAAACTGGAAGGTTTGCACCCTGTGAAATTCTGCTCAGAAAGCCACTACATATGGACTAACCCGGCGCCGGGGCTGCTCGCCTTTCCTTGTGTGCTCAAAGGCACTCATACAAGTGAACTGAGTCGAGTAAGCAAGAATAGAAACGTTCACAGCTGTTCCCTTTTGCTTTTTTAAGTTTTGCCACTGTTAGACTTTTCTTCTCCAAGCATCAAATGGGGTGGGTCCAAATACCACCTGCTTCCTCATACAACATTTATCTGCACGTTACCACAGTTAAACTCAAGGGCTAGAAAGACCAAACAAAACTTCTCAAACTAGCAAGAAAATTTAAATCTTCACAAACTCCAGTATGGATGTAACTAGCCACCAGGTATCTACAACATTTCAGAGAATAACAAACTTCACGTGATGACGAATTAGGCAAATGGCAAGCATTTGACAGGTTAGTGGCAATCACCATTTGTACCACAAAAAAGCGTTATGTGGGTGTCATCAGCTAGAGAAGGAACACACACTTGATTAATTCTCAACTTGATTTGAGAATTAAAGGAGAAATTATTTCTATCCTCCAACACACACACACTACTGTCAGCAATGTTCTGAACATTTTTTTCTTATGCTGAGTTTGATTAATTTACTTCAACAGATTTGAAACTTTAGAAAATCCACCCTTCTTCAGCCACCCTTACATGCACTAATTAAAATTGCCTTATGGAACTAATGAAAACTGTCACCAGATGTTAATGGATGGCTACAAAAGCATCCCAGTTAGGCACATCTTTATCCACTCTATGTTTTATGTGGTCTATTTGCTTCTTATTACATCCTTATAGCACCCAATGTAAGAAGCAATACATCTTGTGGAAAACAAACGTCTTCACACTCTACTCACCTTATCCGTGGTTTCTCGATCTCTTCTAGCTTGAAGAGATCACACTTTGGTTAGAAAATACCAGATAACCTATAAAGACAGCTTGTGGATTTCCCACCTTCAAAAAAAAAAGAAGCTGTCAAAGCACAAACGTTAGTCCTCCAATGCTCAAACTTGCTGAAGCAACAGTTATATCACTGAAGAATACTGGTTACTCCGGAGGATGGTCTTTCTTCCACTTGGGATGAAAATTGCTTTTCTGTTACTGGCTAACCTGATAAGATCAGCTTTCACTAAAAGCAATTTAACTCACAATGGTTAAAGGTATGAAAAAAAATGACAGCAAGATTACACAATTTGGCAGAATAAACGATTATCAACCCTACCTCCAATTTGTCCGTGGTAGGGTCCTGGGCTTGGTTTTACCTTCCAAATGGCAGCTCCTTTTCTATTTTTTCTTTCTTTCCTCTAATCACTCGTGGACATTTGAAAGAAAGTCTAAAGTCTACTCTGATAAAGCATAACCTGCCTGCCCTCCCATCACCATGCTGGCATGTGGCAGGATGCACAGAAACCAAAACAAACCTGTTGAACTGCCCAGATGGCTTGCTTAAAGTTTGCAGAGTTGCGTCAGATGTTTGGCTGGTGAGGCAGGGAGAAGGAGAATGGGCAGGTAAAAAAAAAGCAAAGTCAAAACCCAGAAATTTGGTAAGACAGCACTAACCCTTGTTCATGAACATATGACAGAGTGAATGTGAGACAGGCAGTTTGGCTTCCACATGCTGAGCTGAAAGGAGTAGAAAAATTAAGCAGCAGCAAAATATTTCACTCTTATGCATCATGATTGGAAGGACAGCAGAGAAAAGGCAGAGCAATTCAGCTGAACATAACCAGGAGTGCATGTTTCACTGAATCAAACTGCCATGTGTTAAAGTACTGTACAGCTTTCAAAACTTTTATGAGACTAATATGTGCTCTTAAAGGGGATTTAAATATTTCAGCACAGTGCAAAAACTTTGCTTCCCTGTTTACCTGCCAATTTTGTCAGCTTTTGTTTACTCCTATTCTATATTTGACTTGTAATATTTCAAACATCCTGAGCAGGAAAGTCCCTTCACTGCAGTTTCCATAGAAAACTCTGCTTGCAGGCATATCTTTACTCTTTTAGATTCAGGATTAGGCAAATGACTTGATAAGTACTAACATATCTTGTCAACATACAGGCTATTTTGAATTCTAAGTCCATATTTGGACTATCCATAAACATTCTTTTTCTGCACAATGTTCTTCTAGGAGTCTGTGGATCCAAACCAAGTATTCCTGAAGACAGTGTATTTCACTGGGGAAGAAAAAAGCACCACCTGGGGCTTTTAAGAGCCCTTCAAGGTGATAAGCAACTAATGGAACTGCTCATTAAGACCCATTTACCTGTAACCACCAGTTTGGGTGGCAGAGCTTAGGTCCTAAGAAGCACTTAGTACAACTAATCTCAAATACCAAAAACAACATTACAAGATTCATCCTTGCAGAGAGAAAAGAAGTGCTTCTTATATTTCTATGGGAAGTTAGAGGGGAAGAGACTCAAGTGTAATGTTAGACTAGTAACATGTTACTAACATCCCTGTGCAGCTATTTACACATGAATCTGTTAATAATTTTTTTGCCCTAAACTCTACTGTTTCAAGTTATATCCTCTCCTCAAGGTTAATAAGCCAAGCAAGAAACTTAATGAGAACATGGACAGAAGAATTGAGATTTTTTTGCGCTAGACTGTTTTGCTTTGTTGCATTTTAAACATTAAAAAAAACAGCTTAGCAAGCAAAGAAGAGTGTCTTATGATTAAACTGCCCAAAGGAAAGAACTCACACATCCTTAGCTCTATCCAGACCTTGCTTAGAAGTAGTGCACAACCTTCTTTCATACATGGTACAGAATGAATATGGGACTGCAAACTTGAATAAGCGAGGACATAGACACTAACCACACTGCTTTATGCACATATCTTGAACATTTGATTCCAGCATCCAATACAGTAAAATGACTGGAAGCCTTTCATTAACTTTGGATATGAAATCACGAGAAACAACAAGTTCTTCTAGTTTCATATATCACTTAAGGGAACAGCTCAATAAGAAATTCTTTAAAATGCATGTATTTTAGCAAAGGTGGTTAAAACTAACATTAAGAGATGATTAATGGTTGACTTTTTTTCCAAGGATCTTCTTCTAAAGTAATTGCTGCTCCTAAATTCACCCCTTTTCCTAGTGTTATCAGGTTTTCAGAAATTCATGTCCCGACTTTTCATCTGGCACAGAAGCTGTCACACATTATGCATAGTACTGTATATACCTGAGCTCCTATGCACCAGTCAAGATTATGAACACATGTATATTCCGAAAGAGATGGAACTAACTGCTCAATTCTAATAATTTGGATAGATACCTTAACATTTACGAAAAAACATAAAACTAGTTATTAGCTAATAATAATTTTATTGCCCAAAACAGAACCAAGGCAATAGTACTGGAGGAAACACTACAAGCAATTTATGTTATGTGAACATTCTAAGTAGAGAGTTAATGCAACGGTCTTATAGTATCTGCAATATCGTTAGAGTGATTTTTAAAATATTTTGAATATCTGAGACATAACCCTCACCACAAAGCAAATAAACACATTCCTTAGTCACGATTAGTTTCAAGAAAACTATTTCTCCGAATCAAAAGCTCTACAACATCTTCTATCCAACGGTTACAATTTGACAGTCTGCTGCCTCTGTCTGCCAGAGCACAAAACCCAACCCATTCTAATAAAGTTTTTTTCTCTTTATAGAAAAACTTCCTCTTACTTTTTGAAAGTCAATTTTTCTACAAGGCAAGCTTTCAAATACTATGTAATTATTCTGGCTAAAGTTCCTTTTTTCCACCAGGGTTTTTGTTCTTGAGTACTGTTATGCAATATTAAACAATTCCTTCCTGCAAAGCAGGAATTTCTCTTCAACATGTACCCCCACTGTACCCCCACACAGATCATTCTCCAACCTCAGACAGGCTCAGTTGCCAAAAGCCACGTTAGCTACTGCTGTCCCCCCCACAGCAAAGCAGCTCTCTGCAAGCAGAATTACTGCCCAACCGCTCATTTCAGAAAGCCATACGCACACACCCTCAAATCTAACATTCAGCTGGGAGTTTCTGACAACCTGTGAAACGGATTTCCCGCTATGAGCAACCCTAATAGTCACCCTGTGAAAAGTGTTGTATCTGTAAATGCAGAATAAAAGCACGTAAATATGTCGCTGCAGTGCAAGCCACGGTGAAGTTTTGTGATCCCACTACTCTAAGTGAAGCATATCCAGTATTATACGGGAACAGAGGGTAAAACTGTGCATTATGTCAGTACAGTGTACTCTTTTCATACCTCTACCTTGAAGGGTCCAGCACCTATCTCTCCCCAGAAAAATATTGAAAAAGAGGGTATAAGCAAATCATGGCAGCCTGCAGAGGGAGAAATGCTGCCCCCCAGTGCTCCACATGCCCTACGGCTGCACATCTGCTCCTATCCTGTGCGAAGTGCTCTCCTTGCTCTACAGCCTTCCATAAAAATGCTTTTCTGGAAGCACTGAAAAAAAAAATGACCCATTCATCCTCCAAAGCCTTTTTAGGCCTTTTCCCACTGCCAAGTATGGTTGGCTGACTGAGTAACTTTGCCAAGTGTTAATACTAGCACAAAACAAAACAGTCAGAAACACAAAAGCTTTCTTGCTAAGGGAAGTGAAGAGTGCAAGGAGTTCATGAGATAAACCTAGATATTTGAACCTTGCTATATTAGAAATGACATATTCAGTGACATAATTATATATCAGTTACTTGTGTATTTTTTTCTATGTTTATTGCAACTACTTCATCATATCCTGCCCCTTTACCACACAGGGGGTGGCACCAAGCATGATGCCTCTTGAGATGCAGCTCACCACCTGCTGATACAAATGGGTTCACAAACGCCAGAATCCAGACCTTTCTCCCTATATAAAGCTTAAAAATGTCTCTATTATTCCTGATATTTTACAAGGGTCTATTTACCAAATACAGCCTGAAGAAGTCGCATCCCCAGAGCAGCCTCATTTGCTTGGGTCAATGTAGTATATAGTTCAGGCTGCCTGGTGGACTAATACAAAGATTAGAAAAGCAGGTTATACTAAGCTCATAAAACTTTGTCATCTCTGACTCAGAGAAATCTGGACCTCTTGGTTGACTTACTGATTAAAAAAACAGGCTTTTTTCCTAAGGTTCTCCTGTGGAGCACCCTGGAGTGATGTGTGGACTATTGCACTTCATGGGAAGAAACAGAATCACCATTAAAAAAAGGGAAAATCATGAGTGCTCCCTTAATTCCTTCTCTTACTGCCTAGTTTTACAGGACTTAACAAAACATAGTATCTCTAAAACCTGCTCTGCCTGTCCAACTTGGCTGAAACTTGCCTTTTGGCCATAGATCAGCTGTTAGCATAAACTCTATTTCCAAAAGAGATCTGTCTAAAAAAAAATCAGCAAGAAATCCTTGAAAACAAATACAGCAAAAGCAACTTTATGTGTAACCTCTGACTGAATGAAGAAACTCCACTGCATACACAGCTTACACTGAGAGAAGAGGAAAGAAGCAGCCACAAGTGGGGATGACTGATTGCATTGTCCTTGGAATTAGAGAAGATAACTATGGTGGAAAGCTCAGTGCAAGATCCTCTGTACAACAGATCTCTTAAAAACTACAGAATTGAACATGCAAGTATCCTTTAAGTATCCTTTGCTTCCAAAAATTTTCCAGAATGAGATGCGAAAAAAAAATTGTACAGAAAAACCTAATAGTTGTAAGGGCTGTGCAGGGTGGTGAAGGGTGGTTGAAAGTCTTTTGATGTCTTTACTCTGTTCACACAAACTGAATACACACATTGGGAAAAAAAAAAAATAGAAAAAAAGGTCTGATCTTCTCAACTGCTCCCCCTGTTAAAAGCACTTCCTGTTTTCCATTTTGGCCACGTCTGTTTCTCCAAGTACTCTGCTTATCCAGCTGTAGGTTGTTAAGATCATATCTTGCTGTTATCAAGCCTTACTAAATCTCAGAGGAAAAGGTCTTCAATGGGCTATTTCCTTGGCCCCCCTTTTTTTTCTCAACACAACTCAATCATAGAAGAAAATTAATACCTTGTGCTATGCCTGGATTTTTATAGAAAGTCTTGGTTCTATCTTACAGCAAGGAAGATCAAATAGAAACACCGCCTTCTTCATACCAATATTTGGAGATTTTTTTCTCCCAAAGAACTTATTATACAGCAAGTACGAAAACTATTTCTTTGCTATATAGTTAACACAATCAGATCTATGTTACATATGAAGCTGAAAAACAAAAATGCAACAACTGATGCGCTTGGTATGACCCAAAAGTAGGTGGGAAAGCGCAAAGGCAACATACAAAAAGAGCACCTGGCAAACAAGCCCACCCATGAGGCAAAGCAATGCACATTTCTGAGGTCTCGCCCACCACCACAGTTATGGGAGTAGGCAAGCAAACCCTTTACCATCGTATCGGCCGGGGGAGTCGCACGCTTTCTGCGGCGTCGCCACGCGCAGGAATATCTGCTGCCTCCACGAATGCCGCCGAGTCCTCACGGGGCTGTCAGCTCCAGCAGCCTGCTGGCCGTGTTGGGATTCGTAGTCACTGCAATTGCAGAATACAGAGCGGAGCTTACGCGCGGGTTGCCTGAACCTGCTCCTCACAGGTCGCAGGGCCTGCAGCGCCCACCTCTAAGGGTGCAGGGTGCTGTGCACATGCTGGCTGAAGCGCGAGGTGCTCGGCGGGTGACACCTGCTCCCCGGCAGCACGGGGCTGCGCACGCCGCTCACGTTCAGCCGCAGCGGCTGACGACTTCACGTAGCGGCAGTTTTTAGTGATTTTCAGCCTTCTTTTGCAGCAATGCATCAAGCACACAATGCGTTAAAGATACTTACACATACACTGTAAGGTACTTCTACCACTCAGCTATTTAACTGCCTTCCATAAAATCTAGCAATTGTTCATAGGAAAAAACACAAAAGGCTGTTGATACCTTTTATCAGCAGACATGAAGGAGCTTTATAAACATAAAATTAAACTTTCAGCCTCTGTGAACTACGTATGCAGTACCCTCCTTCAGAGATACAAGCTTGGAGCAAATCTTTTAACATCTGTGCTGCCATGTCAGCCTGGAATAAGCAAGAATCCAAGGAACAGTTTCCAGAGGCCTTGCATGCTACTCCTTTGATGTAATCCACTTACTACATAGAGTCGTTTTGCCAAAATATTAAATAAAATAATGAATAGCAATGCTGTCGCCTACTAAAAATCCAACTAGTAACTTTCACTTGTTACACCTTTACATAGTTCAACTCGCCTCTTCATTCCAGCCCTCTCCTAAGGGGTTTCATGAGGCTTTGTTCAGGCTGAGAGGAATAAATGAACTTTTGCTCTGGCAGCAGCTGGGAGCAGCTGTTTACAAGCCAGGGATCATTCTCTCCTTCCACTTCAGGGCCCTGACATGGTTTTGGATGAACCAGGGATTGTACAAATTGAAACCCCCTAGCAAAGTCCTTTGGCAGGAGTAACCACTGAAGTACACAGATGAAAGCTGCATGATCGCAACACCAAAATAAATGATTTCTGCAATCTTTATAGGAAAGAAAAAAGTCTGGGATCCTAGCACCATCCTTTTTACAGCAAGAATCACATGCAGAATCCATGCAAGTGAACTGTTGCACAACCTGTGTTTCACAAGTGCAAAAAGCATTCAAAACATTTCAAACAAAGAAACCTTTGAACGGTACACTTTTACCTTGAGGCTTAAGGAGAGAGCCCTACCTTGTTGTGCTCCTAAAGTCAGAGGTGTTATTTTCATCTACAGGAGCCAGAAATTTTAAGAAATTTGGCACAGAGGAGGAAGAATGAAGCTTTTTCCTTAAGGCAGTACGGTAGGAGATGCTGAGAGTGCAGTTGGGAAAAGCAGAGTTTAGAATGAGGAAGGATAAATGCACAGAATAAAAATAATATATATGGTAAGTTCAAACAAAAAGCTGCTAACTCTTAAAGGCATGAATACCAAGGAAATCAAAGTTTAAACTAAAGCTATTAACAAAGTGCTACTTTGAAATACATATTTGGGCCAATTAAAATGTTCCAATATAAATAAACATATTTCCAGTAAATGTATTAACCTCCACTATTCCCCAGGATAGCCAGTGCATATTTCTAGCAAATTCCTTTAATCCTGTAAGAACTGATGCCAACTTTATCACTGAATATCTACTTAGGCATGAGCTTCAATGACTGGCTACATTTTAGGAAAAAAAAAAAAAAGGCAAGAAAAGCTAACACTGATGATCACTGTGCTGGCAAATGAAAACCAAAATCTCAGCAAACAGCAATTTGTAGAGCATTAAAAAGATTTTATTCAGACATGCTTGGAGGTTTTAAGATAAGAGATTTCTGCCTGATTATTTGAGATTGTTGCTCTATTTATACAGCAGACAGAAGCCCTAATCAAATTTCATTAACATTCTTCTATCCAACACAATTTCAGGTTCTGTTCTGTGCTCCCAGCACACTCAGAATAAGGTGAAGGAAGAACTATTCAGTTAAAGACTCACTATGGAATGAAGTAGGAGAACTTGCGCCTTATGAACTGTGCTATAAAAAGAACAGATAAGCCATAGTGACACATCTGGATGGCACGTGGCACTGCCCCTTGATGACAGTGTGAGCGGGGACTGAGGGCAGTACTTTGGCATCATCGCTACCTCAAGTGAAGTGGTTCTTTCATAGCTAGTAATGACAGAGGAAAATAAAGCTGTAGCATGGTGTGCCGTGAACCAGGTTTCATTTGCAATAGGACTGGGTAAGTTCTCTTAAAGAATTACAATTACCCAGACAGATTGACTTTAATGATTTAAACTCAGTAACTTACTTGATATCCCTATATCCCTATCAACTTAATATCGAAGTCCTGCTGCTTGGAGCTTCGATACAGTATATCCTTTAATATATATAAAAGCGAAGAACTTACTACTCTAAGTGCAGAATCTAGTACCAAATTTACTTCGAAAGAATCTTCGGAGAATGTAACTTTGGGATTCCAATAAGGGGATATTACTATGGTGTTCAGAACTAGATACGTTTTATTAAAATAATGAGTACAGAGGACATTGTAGATTCATATTCTCTTGCCTCCCTCAAGCTATATCATACATGTAAGCTCAAATCAAATAAAATAAAAAAAAAAAAGATGCTTGTAGTGTTTTTGGCAAATGCAGCTTGCAAGGTTTCATGGTCAAAAACTTTAGGGAGCTCACTGTTTCAGACTCTCAGAGAAACGACGGGCTAGTGTCCTTTTCTGAATCTTCTCTATATGTATTTTCAATCCAAGAAACACTGGTAACAGAAAAACAGCATCTAATATTGGCAAAGGTAACCGAGACAAATACAGGAGCTGCTTTTGGAATCTGCTCTCCACTATCCAGATATTTCTTTCTCCACTAACATTTTTAATTTGCCTTTAACATCAAGCACAAAAAACCCATATGAAAGTGCTTCTGTGTTACCATGAAGGAAACAAAAGTGATTGATTCAGGAGAGACAAAGCTGGATCACAGATTATTGGCAACTAAATGCCTGGCACAATTTAATCAGTGCCACTGTCTGCTGCATAACAAAAGCAACCGATCCCAAAATAAGTCATGTTTGAAAGAATATCATTTCAATAAAGCACAGTTCAATAAATACTCCATGATGCAGTGCTACGGTCAGTAGCAGAGGAGTTGAGATTTCCCTCCCTCCCTCTTAAACCTACCACCTTATGTAACTATTTACACTGCACAGCTTCATATTTATGACACAGTGAAACGACCCCTACCCCACGCACAGACAGGGGCCAGCTCACCTCTTTTGTGTAAAATGCCCACTTGCTTCTCCACTTGCATTATGCCTTAGATATTTAAAAAAGTTGGGTGAAGAGGCTGAGGGATTAAGACGAGCTAGAGTAGGAGAAGATGCAAGTTGACTAGAAGAACTTTAAGATTCGCCGAAAGATGCGTTCAAGCCGTAGAGTGGGATTCCAACCAGACGGGTGGAGTTGAGGTAACAGAAAGAACAAAACACAGAAACAGAGAGAAGGAAGGGGGGAAAAAAAAAAAAAGGGAGAGAGAGAAAGAAATGAAATTGCTTTAAGTGGTCTGGCCAATACAAATGAACTATTCCCTGTTTTCTCAGTTAAGGCTCTGTGAGAGGCTGAACACTAATCCAAACGGAAAAATCCTGAATACATATTTAAAATAGATACTTAGAGGCTTCAGCGAGGCTTTTCAGTATATGACTAAATTTAAACTCCAAAATAAGATCAATGACACCCCCTTTATGTGCTTCTCCTTGGCCAGATGTTATCACCTTTTAAAGAACTGAATCTCTCTATACTTTGGAGATAATTTAGGAATTAGAATAAGCTGTCGAAAACACTCATTCATGACTTGTTCAAAGCCAATCCTTGAGGTGATTCTTGGAAAATTTAAGTAGAATTTTCTTTAAAGTTTTCCATTTCAACCAGTTCTATACTTTAACCGTGAGAGGTGAATAACCAATTTGTTATTCAGTCTAGTTACATGAGGCAGGCACATTCAGGTTTGAATGAATATTACACAAACTAGAACAGCAAGAACCATACTTAACTTCCAGTTGCATTTCTATATTAAAATAAGAACTGACTGAACAGGGAACCACAATCATTAGGATAACTTTCGCAAGGGCAGCACACCAAAAAGACACAAGCTTTAAGACACAAGCTTTTGCACTGCAAATGCATTCTAATGTTTAAGAATCAAAAAGGTTCAAAGAAGGGATAAAAAGGCATCCCAGGTTATATTTTCTTTTTTAATATAAAAATTCTCTTTCTTCCTTGTCATCACCTATTTTAGGCATGTTCTTTTACTGCCCTGTATCCTGCAGAGGAAAATGAGCTGGAACACAGACAGCTTTCCTACTGTGTAACTTGTGTAAACAAGCAGTTTGGCAGTAAAACAGAAGTCTGCACACAGAAATGTTTTCACAATAACTGGAAAAAGCCAGATAGAGGGAGGGAAGAAAATGGCCATAAAGTTAAGAGAAGATTTATAGAGATGTAGAGAGGCACCCTTGTAAAGGAAGGTAGCTTGAAGAATATTTGCATGAAGCCAGTCAGCAGATTGTTTTTGTGAGTAAAACCTACAAGGGCTTATTTGCCTCATCTCTGTCAAAAATTAGGCAATTTAAGTCAGGTCTGTATGTTATTTAGAAGTCTGATCTTAAATATTTCACAGACAAATCTTCCTAACCAAAAGTATCATCATTGCAAATGCTACAGGATCTCTCTCCATAAACAGAGTACATAAAAGTAGAATTTATTATGCTGCTCGCAGATCAAACAACAAAGATTACCGAATATCGTTTTCAGATATATAATCTAACCCCTCGGTTGTGTTTTATCTTCCCTGTGGACAAACTAAACTACAAATCTCAAAAAGAATGAGGCACTGCTACGATGCATTTGTTATGTGCTAAGAGGACATAGCTGGCATGAAATTATCATCCCTAAATATGCCCTCAACACCACAAATCAGAGTCTGCTTTTAGGAGGTCTTACTTTCTCTTGTGAGGAGTCTCTGTGCTCACAGAGTGATACCTCATAAGTTTCCTCTGCGGAACAGACGGTGACTTTTCAACTGGCTCCAGAGAGTCCTGGCTTTCTGTTGGCAAATGGCTCAACGTGTTCGCTCGCCGTCGAAAGCTCTGCTGAGGTAACTTGGCAGCCTGCTCAGCAGGGTAACTATCCTGGTCACTGGACAGGTCACCCACTGAGCCACTGCTCTTGACAGAGTTTTCTGGAGGAAGGGTAGGAAGCCTCTCTCTCTCTTTTTCACATGGAGGTGGTTCCTAGTAATGCAAAAAATATGGTTATCAAGATGTGGTGATAAAAATTATCATGAATATGGCATTCATGGCATGTACTTTCAGTGCTGTTGAGATTACAACAGCAAGGACCATCAACATGGAAATGATTGCAGTGTTTTTTCTTAATACTGTTGCAACATATAGATGACTATTTACATCATATTTCATTTCAAATATATAGATTGTATATTTCTCATAATTTATAACTTACTACATACATATTTCTATGTAGCATGATATATTTCCAATTCAAACGAACTCTTAAGAAATAAAGATACTCTGCAAGCAACAGCAGGATTCTTACAGGTAAGAAAAAAGGCACACACCTACACCCTCCTCTGTCATGCTGCTCTTACCATTTTGTCTGGCTGGTCTGAGGTCTATTTCTTTTCTTTGACTACTCATAATAAATAATCAAAATAAATTACAGAATGTTCAGACAAACAACAGTTACATGATCACTTGGAAACCAGATTTCACATCTGACTTGTTTTAGGGAAAATAATGAAGCTTATAATATATCCATTCCCTACAAGCTTTACTTACTTTACTTGTGCTGCTTAACGTGCTGGACACAGAGCTCTCCAAATCCACACTCGCAGAACTCTCTAGTGGACCTCGGGCTCTACTGCCCTGCAGATATAAAGCACAGAAATAACTCAGATGAGAATACAGAAATTCTCTGTCATGCCATAAATTAAAAAAGATCTACCTGATGCACTCAGAATCTGTAACTTCTGAGGTCAATATCAAGTTTAATTCCTTTTTAACTAGGCAGTTTCATTCAAAGTATTTACCGACATTTTAAAAGATCTTACAGAATTAGTGAGCTCTCACCTGACAATTTTGTGCATGTACACATGAGGTTTTGGATGCATCGCAGCCTCTTTTTCATGGAAACACACACACACACACGCGCGCGCTTCTCTGACGCGCCTCCCACTACAGGGACACAGTTCCATAGTGCACGCATTGCACTGTTGTTAAACTACCATCTGTGGTCTGAACCACACTACACTCTATTTTCACACTAAGTACTTGTTATCAAGATACAAAAGGCAGCCGTCCATTACAAAGGACTGAAAATCATATCAATTTAATGCACAGCAAAACATGACTTCTAGTAGCTATCATTTCAATGCCTACAAAACAGAAAACAATCACATTTTTTTTTACCTAATCTCTTAATCTCTGATGCTGCTATATAATATACAGAAATTTCAAGAAAACTCCTGAAGGAGTCTCACATGTTTACATGCCCATGGAACTAATAAATGTCTTCCTAATCTTAAGGAATAACATTACTTTATGTGCTGAAATGAAGGTTTTATTCTCTTTGAACTGCTCTTCCAGACACCAATTTATTAAATTGGTATTATTTGTGATAGTGAATTTCCTTCCCTGAACCCCAGGCAAAATGTGTTGCCTCGGATCTAATCAAAATGAAGGGTCTGCATCAACACAGCTCTGACAGTGAAAATGCAAATAATAAACAAGTGTGCTCATGTAAGCACGGCTTACAAAAGTCTGGATAAAAGAACAAGTATTAGGAGGGCAATCATTATTTCTGCCAATGTAATTAAATCAATGGCATGCTTCATATCCCAAACGCACCCACATCATGATTTCATGGTAATGAACTCTATAAATGCTGTTCAGGATGCAGTGAGGGGAGATATGCTGCTAAAAATTCTAGCTATGCGCATAGTCATAATGGAAAATGTGCTGCTACCATTATCAGTTATTTTAGGGGAGCAGGTTAGGTTCAAAACAAGCTTTGAAAGCTAGTTTTAACAATATAAACTGAATCTATGTTGAAAAACTTCTTGCCAATAAATATAGTATCTTGCTTTAGTTGATCTTTTTGACTATGAGAAATGAGAATGCCCAACTTATCTTCTTTAGCATTTGTAGTTTGGTTTTCTACCATGTATTGGCTCGTGTTTATCTTTTCCTTGTTTCTTTACGCTCCTTGTGTTCACATGATCTCTTACATTTAAGAACTTTGATGTCTCATTATTTACACATTCTCTGTATCAGTATTAAATACTATCTTACTAATTTTAGAACTAAGGATTCTTATGTTCTTCTACATAATAAATGAACAATTATTATTAATTTTTAAACATAAAAAAAGAACTAAGAACATGGCTATTTTTGAAAAAGTTCTCAGGCTTGACTTCATACTCATTTCTGGAAAAGCCTGTATACGCTATTTCTTCATCTAGAAGTTAGTTCACTTCTCCTAAGATCTTGTATTTTCTTTAACGAAGCCAACCTTTGTCAGGTCTTCGTCTAGCATATAAACCCAATCCCTCTACCCTTTACCTCTTTTTTCATCACTCTACCTTTAACAACCACTTAGCTATAGCCTGGAAGGCTGTATATATGATATATCCATCCTTCAAATAAATAAAGCAATGAAGTTATACTTAGAGCTCATAAATGCAAAGATACTTACACGTGATAAAATATTTTCAAATGATTCTGTCAGAGATCTTTTTGCTTTATTCTTTAACATATCTAATCTGAACCTTGACGTACTGCTAGACACCTCGTTTCCAGCATTCTCAGGAGGGGGTTGTGAAGTCTGCAAGTTTTGAAAATGTACATGTGAAATACACAACAATATGGAGCAAAATATATGGAGCGTTCTATTTCTAGTATGGCAAAAATGAGATACTTCTATATTTGTCCTTGAAGTATCAATTAAAAAAAGAATTGATATCTAGAAAATGAATATCTATGCAGAAAAGACAGATATAAAGATACTAGGATATCACTGGGTTACTTTGCAAGACAAACATATTGCCATAGCACAAGTTCAAAGGCCCTGGAGATTAACAGCCAGTGCAAATACAAAATGCTATGCTAAGACAAATGATGGACAGAGGGCGAATCAACTTTGATCCTAGAGTCCTGGTATCTCTGCAAGAATAAGATTAACCAACAATTAAGGTTCCAGGAGTTGAACAATCAGACTGCAGCAGGGCCTAGGAGCATTCAAATCACATCAAATATATATTGCCTTTTTTTATATATGTCTACTTCCTAGCAATTCATGATGGACACCTATTTGGTAGTTCACATTGCTCTAAATGATAATATTTCAGATATGATAAATAAATAATTAAAACAAAGCACTTGGGTGTTGACTCCTTTCGGAAATACAGGCCTCCTTGAGGTGTCTCATAGTCAGTCATAAACTAAAATATCCAAAATTACGAATCTCTTCTGAAAAATCTTAATGGTGCTGAAAAAACAAGCAGTTAAACAGCATCAGCCTTACACTCTGTCACCTGTTCTGCTGCACCTATTCCTTAAACCACGATAAAGATGAAACCAGGTCAGGCCTTTGGACAACACAAAACGCTGCTGTTTCTGCAGCAATGTGCTCCTCAGCCTCTTTTTCAGGCCACTTCAGCGGTCTACTTGCAAAAAAAGTTACAGCTATTTAGCAAATGCCACAGTCTTTACCAAGAACCAGGTCCAATGCCTTGGCGGGTCATCAACTTACACAGAGACAGACAGGGCAAGTGCTACATTAGCTGAAAAAAAAAAGCTATTTTTTTAATATATTCCCTGAGGCTTATTGAATTTCCATTGTAGGGAGAAGAAGGAAACAACCAAATTAGTGGTTCATGTAATTACACTTCCTAGGCTTGAAAGCAGCCTGTTTCAGGCACTTCAAAACCCATGACATCTGTCTGTTGCACCTGATAGGGGTTATCAATCTCAAGTCGAATCCGCTTTCACCACTGCTGACAGCCTGAAGCTCCAAAAGGCCAGTGACAGAAATTAACTTATAGAAAGATCATAAAACCAGAATGGAAGATTTTTTCTGACTGCCCCTTACATGAGCAGAAACTGAATGATTACTTACCTGCTTTGCTTCTCCAATATGAACATGGTCCTTCTGCTTTTCTTCGTACATGTTTCTCAAAACAGAGATAACCAGCTCATTCTCTTTTTGCTCATTTCTTGGTCTTAATTTCTTTAATTAAAAAAAAAGGAGGAAAAAAAGCACAAGTGTAGTAATTGCACTATTCCTGTAGCAGTTTGCAAATACTCCACTCTTCATTCTGTCACTATCCATGTGCAGTTAGTGTCAGATGAAGCTTAACTTCATTAATCCTCCACATCCATCCACTAGAGGACACCAGCGGCTCAAGCAAAGTAGCAGAACCACCTGAAACCACTTGTTCAATGACAAAGAGAGCCTCACTCAAAATAAACCCAAGATACATAAATACAGGCCACAAACAACTAAAGCCTTTAAAATATATTTTATCAACTCGGGTTTTGGCCTAAGTGTAAGTACAGTTCTGTGTCTGTAGCACATGAAGTACTGCCTTTCACTTACTAAGAAGCACATGACTGTTCCACTACATATCTTTCTCATAGGAAACTTCATCTGGGGGAAATAACCTTGCTATTTTTAAAACTGCACAAGAGCATCAGCTGACTACAATTGTTTCTGCAATATTTATTTAGATTTGGATTATTACAAGAGAAAATAGTTTAAGAGACAACTCATTACAGAATTTAAACACGGGGATCCTCTGAAAAGTGTGTATTGTTTTTAATCCTACTGATGTAATCCACAGGATGCAGTATGAAGTAACCACTGTTAGGGGAGCACTTTAGATAATATCTTAGCAAGACAGTTATCCAACTGTGGGCAGCAGTCCCGCTTAGCTGCTCTATCCTAACCAGCTCATGGAACCACTCCCTTAGAAGAATTCCCAAATTTGGTATTGGATGGTAAACTGTCATATGGAAGCGCACAAAGAAAGAAACTGAAATGACTCAAGACAGGAAGGAAACATTATTAGAAAGAAAAGACTCTGAAATTTCCTAATCTTTCTATGCCAAGCCCAATGTAATTTCCTACCACATTCATCCTGTTTAAATCTGTGGAAAAGATTTTAAAAAAAGAAAAAGCTGGGCTTTCCTCCATGCATTTAATTCAAAAGACAAAGTCAGAACGTTAAACTTCTCAGCTTGACAAACTCAAGTAGCCAGATCTGGGTTAAGGTTTTAGCATGAAATTTTCTGATTTGGAAATATTATAGTAATTTGCTTTGGTCAGAGTAACAACTGAACATGCTCAAAGTCACTACCTTCATCCACAACTTTGTCCATGCAATTCTCCTCAATTAATAGTCAATAATAGAGTGGTAAACAAATAGCCTCAGAAAAATAGAAAAATAAGTCTATTTAACAGGTCAAAAACAGAAACGATCCATAAATTAAAGCATCATTTGATTAATGGATTTTTAAAATGCAAGTGAATAATTCACAAAAAAATGAAAATAATCCTGCTGCTTCACACTATTGTTAGCAAAAATGAACTGCTTAAAAGCCTTGTGGGAAACAGAAAGCTTACCTTAACCTCTTCAAAAACTGAGGCTTGTTCCTGGGTATTTAGTGTTGTCAGATGCTTCTGTAGTTCTAGTTTAGTCTTAGAAGGATGTAGCCCTAGTAAGAGGAACAAAAAAGAACAAATCACAGGGTCGAATTTGTCAGAATTATTCATCGTTTCATTATATAAAATTTAAGCTGAAGTTCACCAGTGTGCTGACGCCTTGTACTGATGTCAGAAAGAGCTTTAGAAAGAACATACGTTAATTTAATCTACCACTGAACTTCTACTCATGTCTTTAAAATAAGGGACACAAACACTCTGTGATGAGGAGATTTGCTGAGCACAGACCAGGATTATACTCCTTAGCTGATCGAGAAGATTCCCTTATCACGCATGATAAAATAAACCCACAATCTACTACTTGCTGCTTTGTTGGTTGGTGTATTAGGCAGTACTGGCTGCATTTTGTTTGTGGAGTTATATAAATGTATTTTAGACTGACTCCTCTCCTACTTTCATGCCTTGGCCTCTTTTGAAGAGCAGAGTATTTACTGCATTCTAGCAAAGATTCTGCTTTGCCTTTTGATGGAAACATTTACTGGCAGTCTAAAGCAGGCTACCCTCCCATTCAGATTATACTTTTTTTTTCTCTCATCCTAGATTAAATTTCTTTTCTATGCTTTCTATAAAAAGCAGCAAGCCATCAACAGTATTTTGTACTTCAACTTCTGACATTTCTCCTCCAGAAGACAACACAGTTAATGTCATTAAGATTCATTTGCCTTCAAAATTTTTCTCAAATATCATAGCTAGTTGAGGCCAAAATAGTGTGAAACACAGTTTTGGACGCTCTCCAGTTTATTCAGAGTAATACCAGATAGGTTGTAGCCCAATGAACTACTGTTATCTGATCCGACAAGCTGCTGTTGCCCTTTATTCACCCCAGACTTTCCTTAAATGAACAAAACCTAGCTGTGAAGTTTGCTCAGAAGTAAATAGTCTTTTATGTCTTGACCTTGTTCGAGGCAAAATCTGCAAATGTAATTAGCACATTTTCACACAAGTGTATAGGTAGGCAACACAACCATATCCAAATCCTTAGTGGCAGTGTAATGCCATTGTCTGACTGGGTTCACAAGGAGAGCAGTTCAGAACTATGGCAGCACATATTCTCATTAAGTTCATTATCTGCAATGCTCTCCGTTTATACAACCAAGACAGCCAAGCAGGCTGCAGTTTAGACTCTGATTTTTTTTTTTTTTAAGTCAGTTGAAAAGAAGGAAGCTAGGCTTTTGTTTGAAAATTATTACCTGATGGATAACTTAACACTGCCGCTAAGAAAGAACACTGGCATCAATTTACTCAAATTAAAATGTGATCTTCTTAGTATTCATTCCTATAGAGTTTTATATATAAAATTATCCCCAAATAAAATCGCTAGAAAAACATATTTGATCCAAAAGAACCTTTCAATCCTCACCTTCTATCTTTTCACAGAGTTTATGCAAGCTTTGCAGAGGGCATCCTTCACAGAGCTGTGGCTGGGCCTTGGAAGTCTGTTGCACTGCAGCTACAGTGAAAGCCTGTTTCAATGTCATCATGATTTCATCAACCTGGAAAGAAAGGAGAGCATTGGGAAGGTAACTTCACTTCTCCATGGGCCTTCTGCTTCTCTCAGCACAAACATCACCAGTCTTTGAGGATGATACTATCATGTGTTTGAGAAATGGATGTTCATGGTAAAATGAAGAGCTGATGCTGTGTGCCACACACACAAGCAAGACATCAGCTGAAGCCATGCCTCTTCCAGAACAGCCAAACTTATTATTTGTCTAATAAAGATACCACCGCTATCTAGAAACCTGTCTTGTCTAATTTAAAAAGCTTACTACAGCTGTAAGGCACCGGCCTGACCTACAGGATAGCAGGGTGGCCCTGATTTCCCGAAAAACTGCACTGCCATAAAAATTCTTCCTGAAAAGAGGCATACAGTCTAAGTTTGGTTTTTACAAGGAAAGGAAATTTTACTGGATTTGAAAGGTGACTGAAAAAAAAAGTCCTTAAAGTCCTTAGCAGCCTACAATGTTAATTACTTCTCCGAGATAATTACATTTCTGAGTGGAGCAGGATTTGAGGCCAATCAGCAAAAGATGCAGAGCAATGAGCAACAGAAGAGATTAGAAGACCTTTCATTTCTTTCTCTTACCAGTGCTTCATCCGTACACTGAAACACATAGCAAACAAAGTGGAAGCCTCCATTTTCTGAAGACTCTCTGCAGATGAACCCAAAGTGATCCACGTGTCTAATTCCCTAGCACAGAAACAACAGTAATGAAGCAGTCATACTTGCATTAAGTGTTTTGTACCTGTAATTTACACAAGAAAAACATTACAAGTTCATCAGCAACAAAAGTATACTTC